GAAAAATCCACCAGACAAACTGATCAAACTGTCCTATATCCACAGTTAATAGTTTAAATCTCCCACTATGTCTGGTTATCAAAACGGGATAGAAATTAATAGGGAATCTCAAATTTCAAAAGTATCTGAGAAGTCCCTAAGGATAGTTCCTCGACTTGGGTACAACAACCGTGCCTGTAGATCTTCCCAGCTTGAGTGATGTCACCGGTGTCTGCCCTAGTTAAAGGTGAATCTCTTCTCTTCCTCCTGCTCCACCTAAAAGCTTTAAGTCCTTAAAAACAGACAGAGAGTTAACTTAACCCTCCTTGGTTTGGTTCAAACCAACTGCCTTAATATTCCTCTACAACTAGTGCTGTTGAAGGTCAGCAAGAATGTGCGACATAATTTATAATCTAACTGTTATAGTCCTGGAAGTATGTCCTCAATGGCATATAGAACTTGGGCAGGCATAATAATCAGACTTGGGCAGCAACACTTGATGGCAACGCAGATAGGGATGAGAGAGAGTAATGCATAATAACAGACTGTGTCTGGAAACTGCCAAAGCCTGTTTGTTTGTCATGCCATAATTGGTTGAAAATCCCTCCAAGTCTGATGAGATCTATGAAGACTAAGCCAATCAGATGCATCCTAATAAATGATCCATGGCTTGATATAAGCACAGACAGCTGGCGCCCAGAGAATGGTTCAAGAATTTTCAGGGAGAGGACAAAGATAAAATACACCTACTTATTATGCAGGCCCAGTTGTGGACTTTGGACTCTAGATCATGAATAAAGGAAAGATTCCTAGTGCAGTTACAGAAGGCATCTTCATGCCACAACTCAATAGGTTTTTTTTTCTCTTAACACTGACAATGATGTCAACCTTGCCTTATTAAAACCTTCATTTAAAACAAAGCAACCTTTATTCAACTGTGCAAACAATTTATCAGAATTAATTCAAGGTTGACACAAAAAATATTTAAATAGATCAGAAAATAAAAATGAGTAATTGACCTGGATTATTTTTACATGGGCTTGAATGTTAAATTCAAGCTTGCCTTTTTGGTCTTTTGGTGAGCATCCCTTTAACTCTCTTTATATAAAAAAAATGTTCACACCCACTTTGCACAGGTTTTAATGTTCAATCCTCAGCAGCAGTTTCCGACGACAGCTGCCCGGACATGTAATGGTCATGCAATAAATGTCCATGAAGTGAGAAGCCATTAATCTAGACTTGAGTAAAAGCCATTGCATCACAAAAAGACATGTCTTAAACAAGCCTTAAGCACCAGATGGTTCAGTTAGGAGCATAGACTGACATTAAGTACTTATATTGAAGTAATAAAGCATTCATCAAAGGGGTGGGATATATTTAAAAATCAAGAATTTGTCTTTCTTTACCTTGCAAGTATTTTGGTTTGGTATGTTTTCACACACCTCTATAACCCTTTTACATGTCCAGACTTTTCTCCCTTCTACTCAAAGGTCATGATCATAATATCAATTCTTTAAATGCAATACAAAAATAAGTATTTTATCAAAGAGACTATCATAAAAATCATCCTCAGTTCTTTTCAGATTCACCCGTTCCACACTTAAACACCACTGCATTATTTTTTTGTCATGTTTTTAAGTGATGTGTACATGATACAGAGTAAGATATATGGTTTAAATATTGTTTAATTTTAAAATTTGAGGCACAAATTTTGCCAACCAAGGGAGATCTATCACAACTGAATTATTGTAAAATTAATGGGTCGGATGTGTCATTTGGCTTCAAAGGAAATGGTCAGACAGTGGTCTCTCTGTTAGCATAGCCAGACGTCTCCGACCACACTCTTTAATTATAATTTAAACTTAAATCATCGTCCTACCTGTAATTAAGTTCATTGTTCATTGTGCATTGTTCAGATAGGCTATATAACATGTATGTATTCTCTGAGAAGGAAGACTGGACTTGGCTACACTAGACAGCTGAACAAGCTGACTGGAGGTCCCAGCTCTTGACCAGGAATAAACCTGAAGTACATACTAAGTTGTGTTGATTTATTCTTGGACCTATGTCGCAGTGGATCTGATCCCCAAACCCGCCGTGATAGATCCATAATGGAAAAATTGTTTTAAAAAATAAGTATGGAATCACGGAAGAAAAAAACGCAAATTCACCTGCACAACTGCCATAGTCAAGGTGATATCAAGGAAAACAATTACATGATATCTTTAAACAAAAATGATACCAATTTAACTAAAGCAATGGCTCAGCTATAAGAAAAGAGCGGAAAGGGGGTATTTCTAGCAGTAACCCTTTACTCCGGGGACTGTGCAGGCTGCTAATAAGCCTGCCAGACTACAAAACAGGTATTGATGCTCCACTGCCAGACAACCTTCATTTCCAGTGTGCAATACATTAACGCCGTCTAAATGGGCTAGCATTACAGAACTTTATGTACAGTGGAATATAAATATTATTTATAGACAGATGCACTCAAAAACTAGCTCATCAATGCCCCGTTTGATTCAACCATGGCCACAAAACATGTATAACTGACAGAGAAACATTGATGACCCTGCTGGGTAGAAGAAAATACACAATTGTTATTTCGGCACAGGGCATTTATTGTCAAAACCTCTAGTCTTGGCCTCTAGATCAACAAGGAACAAATGTCTGACCTTCCTGCAGGGTGAAAAGGTCGACTTTGTTTGGGTTGCTCTGGTCACATGACTTCTAAGTGTCCAATTAAGGCAATAAACTAGGAGTAGATTTCTATCAAATGATAGCAGAAATGTCAAACTCGACATAACCTTGAATCTTGTGCACATGATATGAAATCGAATCTCTTATTTACTACTAAACTGCTTCACTTTTTACAAAATGTAATGACGATACATTTTTCTTCAAATGGTTTTCATGTCAAATAACAGCATGCACAAATGATTTAACTAAACTGATATGGTGTCATTATCAAAATCAGACCAAAATAATAATAATAATAATAATAATAATAATAATAATATAATACTAATAATTTCCTATACCAGCATTTTGATCCGAGTGCAGACACAAAACGGTCATATTGTTCTCGTCATGAACACAAATCCTACTTGTTAGGCCACAGATTATGAGATACTGTAAATAGGTATATATTGGTGCTAAAATAAATGAATGAATATATTTATTTCAGTAATGAAATGAGGGATGTCAGGGCGAATGAGCACCACCAGTATTCTCACTGGTGGACATAATACAAAAATTACATACAAATAAATACATTTAAGTTTTAAAAAAGACAAAACAGGTCTATCTGTTCTTTATCAGAAAGGCAGAACTTGACACAATACAGTCCAAATTCCCCACTTCATCAGCACTGTTAACACTGATGCACTTTGTTCACAGGCTCATTACCAGCAAATATAATTTACAGCAGCTGAAACCAATGCCCCAGGTCCTTCCTAGAGTAGAAACACTCTCAATTTGCCATAGTACACTGTCTCGTTTATCTTGATTATCCGACTTACTCTTGACAAGTGATGTAACAATGTCTGGCTGGTGATTGCCATCTTTTGGAAAAACCCAAAGAGCACTATGTGCAAATGTATCCCAATATTACTATATTTAGGCATACGCCTGAGATTTGAGATTTGACTAAACCCAAGCAAATGCAGGAGGATGACTTTATGAAATATGAGCTAGACTTTACTCTAGCTACAGAACAGAAAGTAGTTAGGATTTAGTTTTATTCAGAAATTTAATTCCATTGACATGTTGATGGCTGTTGGGTTATTTGGAGAACTTTACTTATGTAAGGAAGAGGGGCTGGATTGAAGTTCACCTTGCCATGAGACTTTGTTTTGGTGACACTTCTTTTAATTTTGATTACATAGTAACAGCAATTTGGTTTAGCATTAAAATTTTCATCATGGTGGGCTTTCGCAATGGAAAAATATTTGATTTTCACACACGATTTGAATTCATGTTTTTTTTCACATGTCATACAAACAATAACCCCACTTCCCAACTGAATGAAAAAGATTTCTCAGATTTAACAGTGAAATACAAAACCGTCTTTTCTACAGACTATTTCTACTAGTATTCCTTTGTTTCTTGCTCATCCTGTTTAAATTATGATATAACACAAGGACATATCACAAGTATTTAATACAAATAGAAAGAAATCGAACGTCCAAAAACTAGTCCTTTACTAAGAACCGAATTCACAAAGAAACAAAGCGAAGGTTATAAAACGGGCACCTGCCATCGACGTGAAAACCAATATGGAGGACACGGTGTGACGTCATCACTTTTAGTGTTGAGAGGCAATCGTGGACAGCTGATCATTCAAAACAAAACCACGTTTTGACCTAGAAATGTACACGCTGCTCCGAATAAATATCAAAATGTGAATTTATGCATTTCCTTCATTCGAATGACATAACGTATGTGTGTGAATTTATTAAAAATGATACCAAAATGAACGTTTTCCTCAACAGACTTCGCTGCAGATAGACATCAAGTGAAGCGAGATTGAAAATGGCCGTCTGTCAAAACATAAGCATTTTCTCAATGAAATTCTCATCAAATCATCTCGAATATATTTACAAAAGCATCAGATATTGTCGGAAAGTTGGTTTAAGTTTCTTAGTGGCGTAATTTTGGAGATTAGTCCAGCCTCAAATCCAATGTAAATAAAGAAACGACCATGACCTCGACATCATCATGTGAACATTCAAAATGGAGGTGGGAACGGGACCAAAACAAGAATTTTCAAACACAGTCTCTGAGACATTCCCGGGTCCAAGTTTCACTAACGAAATAATTTCGGCGTAAATATATTACCTGGAACCAGATCATATAACATAACAGATGTATTGGGTGTGTAGCGATCAAAAATATGGGTCTGATTTAAGCGTGGGAAGCTGGAAATCCAATATGGCTGTGTATTGGAGTGAAAGGGGACCCTGCATTCGAATGAATATTATAATGATCGTGTCCTATTTCTTAGTCATTTCATCACTCACCTCCTTTAGTATATGTATCCAAGATCCTATGTATACCAATTTTGATCCTTCCGAGTACCCACGATCCTTACAAACGTGACCTAATTATCTAGGTACAGCTGATATCAACGTGGAAAACCCCAAAAATGGCGCGCAAAATTTCAATTTGAATCCCCCACTTCTCGCTGGAAAATGTTCTTCAAAATCTGCTTCACAGTCCTAGTATAGTCTTTGAAGGTTGGTATGTACCTTTTAACATCTTCGTTCGTAATAATTAGGTCACAAGTTTGACCTGATTCCCCAAAATTATTGGAAAAATGAGCTCGGCAACCTTCGGCTCAAATATGGCCGAAATCCGAACGTTTTTATTCAAATGACGCGTGTGGCCTGTCGCTATGACGATGTCAATCACTTTTGGCGCGAAATCCCGGATGACGCTATGATGTCATAGCTTTGGAATGCAAAAGGCCCGGATGAATGCATTGTGTTAGTGGAGAAAAGCTTCTCGACTTTTGTGTTTATGGAATGTCTGATTGTGTTTTAGTCAAGAAATGATAGGAAGTCTTTTTTCCTAGGCCAAAACATATACGTTTTTAATTTTTTAAAGTGAAACATAATGCTCTCATTGTGAAAAAAAAACTTTCTCATTATAAAAATAAAAACTTGGAATGATACAAGTGGTGATTCTATTGAAAATGCTTATGGTGTCCACGGGTGAATTAAATTAGCTTTAAATTAAAGTAAGTGTTTGGGTTTTTTTCATTCAAATGTAAAAAAAAAATAGTAATAATAATATTAAAAGGGGGAGATCTAAACAAATAAATTAAATTATAGTTCATCATTACTGGATTATTTGTTTTGGCGCTTGGACCTTTTTGCATATTACAATACATTATAACAAGAATTACAGTTGAAAAATGCATTTAGTATCATTTGTTTGGTACTTATATTACATTCTAAGATTAGTATAAAACAATCTTTTCAAAATATTAAACCAGTGCTCCTTTACGATATTGAATAAATGTAATGACTGCATGTAATGACTGAAAAAAAAACTAAGAATGAAACAATTTTTCATAAAATGCTCAAACTGATGGAAAAAAGTCCAATAGGGTAACATAATGGTGACTTTCATTTCTTTCCAAATTACAAAAATCAGTGACACTATTCTCCATTTATCCACATAAATATTCCCACAATTTTTACGGTTCTAATTTCAAGGTTCTACTAGCAACATTACACTGTATGCGGCAATGTTTAAATAATAATGAACATTGATATTAAATACACTTCCTTTTAATTTGCTTGTACAGAAAAGAATATGTAAGAAATGAAGCATATTATACAATGTATCAGCTAGCTCTCTAACAACTCATTATTTTCAAATGTATTCTTGTTGTGTATTTCAATTATTCATAAAACACTTTTGATGTTCTTTAAAAATAGATATCAATAATTTTCTAAAAAATATTACCAAGTTGCTTCTTGCTTTTGCATACCTCCACTAAGAGCATCATCCTTAATCTAAACTATCTTCTAAAATGACTGCTTTGTTAAGTCAATAACTTGCAAATTCCTGCAAGACCCCCCTTTTACAAAGTGAAAAAACCCTTTTCACAGCAAGGTCACAAAACTTCCCAACCTGTGCCTAATATTCCAGTCCTTTGTTTCAGACATAAAAGAATAGGTATTAACCACAGGATGTTTGACTTAGAGTTCAGTACAAGTAGGTCCACTCTGGCACAATCCTGTAATGGTATGTTTTTAGACATCACCATTTCCCAGTGATACTTCCAAGTCAAGGCAGTATGTCTCTTTTCTACAAGGGTCTCTTGTGGTTTCTGTTCGAACCCTCAGAGATGAATCATCTTTTATTTACAGAACACAGTCTCTCTTCACATCCTATTTATTTTTGGGAGGAGGCCTGAAATATGGTTTAAATAGAAATATCAAACTGTACTGTGTTTTATATGTTTTCAATATCATAAAAACACAGCAGTGCAAAGAGGTCTTTGCAAAAATTAATTTGTCATTTATTCATAAATGCAGAAAAATTCAAAATATTAAATACATAAAAGCTGAAAATATTTCACATTTTGAGTACCATGTGCTTCAGTTTCAAAGGGGCCCAATTTTTCATTTTCAAATCACCACATGTGCATAGTTAATGGATAGCTATATGGTGGAATAAGTGGGAACTTAATAAACAAGTCTGAAACTAAGGTAACAAAGAAAAGCAGTTACAATAATTTTTAAAAGAAATCAAACACCTCACCTGTACACCCCTACCACCACTGCATGATCTCGCTCGTACGGTTCCAGTGTCAACTGTTCCTGTGGCTTGATTTTCTCAGCTTTCAATTTGTTGCACTCTCCAGCAAACACTGCTTCAGGCTTGGCTGTAGAATCGATGCAGTTTGCCTGGAAGAATCATTGAATGCCATTTTTAGTAAAACACATTCATGTAGCTTAATCTTACGTCAACCTAGCTGCAGTCCCATAGGGTCTCTGTATAACATGGAAAATAATTCATCAATGCTCACCAAGTTGAGACAGAAAAGTTGGTGATAAGTTACATATAAAAATTTTTAAAAATCAGGACACAGATATCATGCGACTTTGTTAAAACACACACCATAGCAAAAACTGGACTCTGACCAAGTTATAAAATCTTTGCACCTACCTTTATGGAAATTACAATGTGTCCTTCATTCTTGAGAAAGTGATGTGCATTAATGGCCACAATACGTGCCTGATCTGGCTGTGCAACATCAGCAAAGATTGTGTCCACCATACCTTAAAGGTAGAGAAAGAAGTACATAAAGTTTATATACTTAGGTAAGATACTGAAATTAGCAGAATATGTTCAAGCATACCGATTACATATGGTAAAAGGTTAACACCCAAGTACTCAGACTTGGGACTCAACCCCCCCCCCCCCCTCCCCCCAACATTCAATGCGTAAATTTTCCTTTTTATCATTGTGCAAAAATCAATGGTGGAATAAGGGTAGCTTCAACATACCTAAGACAAAGCAAACATCCTAACTAAAAAATAGATAAACGTTAGGCACTTAAGGTAGATTGGTCGTTACATGTTCCAACGTTCGAATTTTTTTTAATTTTTTTTTGTTTGAAGAGACACCCAAGTACATTAAAAATTTGCAAAAAAAATTGGGGGTCACCGACCAAATAAGAGAACTAGCCCCAAATATGATACACCCTGCATATCGCACTAGTCCCCATTCAAATCAATGGGAAAATGGGTGTTTTCTCACTAAAGCATTATTTTTTATGACTTTCTGACGTTCGAATTTTTTTAAAAATTTTTTTGTGTAAAGAGGCCTCCAAGTACATTTAAATTTTACCAAAAAAATTGGGGGTCACCGACCAAATAAGAGAACTACGCCAAGTTGAAGTGCGCTACACCCTGCGTGACGCACTAGTCTCCATTCAAATCAATGGGGAAATGGGTGTTTTTCACCAAAACGTTATTTTTTATGATTTTTCTAACGTTTGAATTNATACAGAGTTACAGACAAGTTGATAATGTGTGTTTATCTTATAGATAATTGTTTTATTTCCTTAAATTAATAAAACAGACTGAAGTGTCGTTAGAGACGATTGACGATGCGCTGAAATTGCGCAAATCGTCAAATTACGTAACGACCGATCTACCTTAAAATGTTTTAATCAGTTCTAACACGACTCTGGATCCTAGCACAATCACAGATTCTTGGCAAAGAAACTTACCAACCAGCATCCTGTATTTGTGAGGGTGCCTGGCATCTTCTATGATGGGTATAACATTTGTCCTCTTTTTGGCCACATTGATTAGGTCTCTGCCACTTCTGTGTGAAAACTCAACCGCATACACAACTCCTTCCTTTATGACAAGAAAACAGTAAGCAGTCTTACAAAAGTAACATAAATTTAATCCTAAGCAGTGGCAAGTTGTGCCACAAAAATAGTAATTGCTTTCACCATTCTGTAAGGTGTATAGACTATAGTGCTAAATTACATTGTAACATGTAATTGAGCTTTGAAGTATAGAGAGCCTTAAAGCCAAAAATAGAATCACTTAGTGCTCAATCAGCCTTTATAATTATCATATTGCAAACTCAAAAAAGATCCTTCATTCTTTTTAAATAATCATATCAATGTCATGCAGACTTACAGGTCCTACTATATCTGACACATGGCTGACTGTGGTGCCTGACGCAGCACCCAGGTAAAGCACTTTACTGCCTGGCTTAATGTGGATCTGCTCAACACCACCCAAAATGGCGGCTGCCAGCTTTGAACGGAAAGGATTCCATGCTCTGTATTCCAGCTTTGACCCATCATCCAACTGAAATTGAATGCTTTTAATGTTACAAAAAATTCATTACAGATTGATTTTGACAACCTGATTCAGTGATTACTGATAGCATGCAATACTTATACACCTTTATATAAAACAATAATTAAAGCACTAAAAAAGCATTTCAACTTACATCTACACTTATCCTCTTCTCTCCATAGACAGACTCTCCTGACACCATGTTTTTTGTGACAAGAACATCCTCTTTTCCACGAGATATAAACACACCTAAAAACAGAAATCAGTTGAATACAAGAAATAGATTAATGCTTTGGAACTATGATCACTTCTACAATTTTCCTTTTTTCATTTTCAGAGAGGGGAAGGGGAGGCAAAATAATAAAATTAATATAGGTCATTCATTTATTTAATAAAATGACAAATTTTTATTTCCTTACAATTATGTGGACAAAAAAAGTAATCTTTTAAATTCATGTTCTTTTTTTTTCATTCAATCATTAACTTCATGTTTTCTACTTGAATTTTCATATTTCAAGCATAACTTATCCATTGTTAATAAGACAATAAACATATAAAAGCTGGCATTTTCTGTGCTCATGTCAGCAGTCATAGCTTATCAGAAGTAACTCTGTATTTACCTGCATGTCTGTGGGGCTCAACAACTGTCTTTTTGCCAGCACCAAAGCCACCTGTTAATCAAGACAACAACGATAATGTACATGTTAGAGCCAAAAATCATTTTATGTGAAGCATTTAAATTTTGTGATAGAAAATTTTATATTACACCTCTGTCAGTTGCACAATTACCTAAATCAGAATGTGACATTCTAGAAAAACACGATAAAATAATATGCTTTGTGATAAAGATTTTCCTTTTAAACGAAGTAATTTTTTAACTGTTTTCCAAACAATAATAGCACATAATGTTATTGAGACTTTGCCTCCTTTTCTTTCCTTTGAATAAACTTTTTTTAATAACAGCAACAATAACAAAAATGAAAAGTCAAATACATCTCACTTTAAGTTAATTGTGTTCAGCACCTGCTTAAACAATCAATACTAGCTTGAGTGATGATCCTATTTTTCTACCCCAAAAACCAATGCTTCATTATGTTAACATTTTCATTACTTCATTTCCACTAATTTCTCTCCCCTGAATATCTTATGCTATGAAAGTACACAACTACTTCGGCCTGCCAGCATTCTGTAATTGAAATTTCAGTCAATAAAGCTACTAACCTCTTCCGCCTCCTCTACCTCCACCGCGACCACCTAGAAAATCAATAAACAGAAATGAAATAAGGATCCCTGGAATCTTCTATAAGAATAACATTTGTCCTCTTTTCCACCACTGCCTCTTCAGTAACTAATGAATTATATAACTTATGAACTATGAATTTTCTTTTTCTTTTTCAAGGTTTTCAAATCAAATCTGTTTATGTAACACAGTTACACTAAGTTAATTCTTTCTGTATGTTTATAAAAAGCTTGAGATAAACCAGTTCTGGTATATATGACTGACATCTATAAAAAAAACCTAGAGATTATCAACAGCTCAAACTTTCTGTCTAGAACTTGTATATATAAGTTATACTAAAATTATCCATATTATTTTCTACTAGTGAATTATATCAATTACATACCTCTTCCACCGCCTCTTCCCCCTCCTCTTCCACGACCCCCGCCTCGATCTCCAAATCCTCCCCTTCCGCCACCCCTACCCCCACCACGTCCTCCGAATCCTCCTCGGCCACCACCACCACCTCGACCTCCAAAACCCCCTCTTCCCCCTCCTCTAGGGCTGAAACCTGGAACAACAAGCAAGTTCACTTTGCAGTTACAACTTAATCAAGTGTGAGACTATGAAGAGAGATGATTCATGAGTCTCAGACAATAACAAAGCAATGTTGATCTTCAGCTGGCTATTAGTTAATTACTAGTAGTAGTCATAAGTCTTTGTATAAACCTGATGTTTTTTTTTTCTTTTGCTACACAACTTCTTCTATATCTTGCATAGTCATATATGGCAAACTCTATCTCAGTTAAACGTGAATTAAAGACTGAATTGGATGCTTTACTTTGATTTAGGCTCTTGTCCAGGGAAATTAGGTGTCTGGGGCAAAGGCATAGCCTTGTTTATAGAGCATTTTGTCAAATACTTCTGTCTGCTTGTATGTGGATAAAATCCAAACTACATTAAATACATTCAAGATTTCAAAATTATTGAAGTAACAACGCTAAGAGGAAAATGTGATTCATACTTTAATAAAATTTTGGTCCTATCACAAATTGACAAAAGTGCAGCCCATGAGGTTACGCTTCTCTCATTCACTGGTACAAATACATACCCAACAGATGTCGATCGCCAATCTGATATTATTCATGGGCGTAAATTTATTCAATCTGTGAAAATCATTACAGTTTTTCGTTATATTACTCCAAATTATGATACTTTACCTGGTCTTCCCATATTTTCTGTATACACACGTGTTTCACGCTGTATGTATCCTACGCATGCTCAAGTGTGTTTCCGTTCACGTGACTAAAGTTTGTGTAGATCATTGAAAAGTAGCAGAAATCGAGAGTTGTGTGGGTCGATTCTTTCAAATTAACTTGCAGAGCTCATTGGTTCAATGCACCTGGATACATTGGAATATGCAAGTTTAATTTAGCAGGGCGTAGCTTAATGTCGTTTTGTGTAAAATGCACCAGTGACGAGACAGGAGCAGGAGATGGCATAACGGGAGGGGGGGGGGGGGTCTCGATAGCACCATAGAAGTAGACTATGATAGCACTTATGCCCCCTCCCCCTCAGAAAATTGTATTAACCCCAGAAAAATCCATTTTATTTGTTTATTTAATTTTTTTTTCAAAAATGAAGTTGTTATCTCTTTAAAGTATAAGTAGAAGGGACCGGGCATGTAAGATGGAAATCACTTAAACAGCAAAAATAAAAAATAAATAAATAAAAATTAAAATAAAACCTGCAAAATAACTCATTTTTTTCAAGGAACCCTTATTTTAACCAAACAAAACTACTCAGTAAATTAAAAAAATATATGGTTGGCAATCCATGTAACTGGGGCAGTTTCAGATTGACAGTGACAATATGGGCTGACAATATTCAGAATACATACGCTGGGATACAGATCACATTTACAACTGGCTAATTCATGATGCAGAAAACAAAAATAAACTGTAAAACAATTGAGCACAATATATGAACTCTTTTATTAAAACATTAAAACTTTTCTCTCACAACAACAAAACTGTACTACAGTGTAGTGAACAGTTAATTTTCACCTTCAGCTCAGTAATAACAAGAACATTATAATAATCATTATTATTAATGCTAAGGCAAGCAATGGTGATGTCTTCTACATTTGAACTGCACCTGAACTGACTCAACTTCAGGAATGAGCACAAAACCAACCCCCCCCCCCCCCCCCCCAAAAAAAATATATATATATATATATATATATATATATATATATATATATATATATATATATATATCCACTTGAGAGATCTTTTTTAATCAAGACACCTTGTCCTCTGTAACATGGAGAGAAGTCTCATGTCTTTGGCAAGAACTTTTGGTTGAAAATCCCTTGCCACAAAACTTGCACTTGTGTGCCTTAATCATCTTACAGTTCTGACGTTCATGATACTTGCATGCATGCTTGTGTTTAAAAAGATTGCCACAGAACTGACAAGGGTGGCTTTTTTCAACAAGATGACAACTCTCATGTTTATTACAGGCATCCTTGTCTGAGAATAACCTATGGCAGCTTTTGCATTTGAACATTTTTCCTTCCTTGTGCTCCTTTAAATGAAGTGCAACAAGGTCTCTCCTGGAAAATGCAATATCACAAATATCACACCTGAAAAAAAAAAAAAAAGAATTAAAAGACCAATTAAAAACTCCTTCAGAACTTACAACTTATACTTACTACTGTAACAATATTTCACGTGTTGAGTAAGACAGATAGGAAAGTCTTTTTATAATCTTTTCATAAAAATACAGAATGGTTAAAAAAAGATGGATATAGGTAACACTTGCCCCAGCCAAACATTAAATATCACACAATGCACTGCAAGTGAAAAGAGCATCCTCTCTATTTAGGAATTTTCTGAATCTGCTTGTGGTGAGGGGTGATAAACAGAAATTTCAAATCCATCCATTTTTCAATCTGTTAATTTAGACAACCCTGCACAAAATGACAATTAAATTGCAGCTAAACTTTTTTTTTTGTAAATTCTCTTTAATTACTGACCCTTTGCTCAGTGAAGGTGGATTGCTAGATGCTCGAGTTCACCAGTGCCAGTTGGCTAAACAGTTTTTAGTGTACTAGTAGATTTGTTCTTGTACATTAAAAAGTGACCCAATAGGTCAAAGAACAAAATAAGATACCTGTACGGCTTCTCCCCTGTGTGAATTCTCAAGTGTCTCACATACGAATCCTTTCTGAAAAATACCTTTCCACAATAATCGCAAATATGCTTTAGAAATGTTCTTTTTAGAGAATTTTCTTCTCCTTGATGCATTCTTTCATGTCTCAGACATTCATTTTTTCCTTTGTAGTATTTTTCACAGAAACTGCATTTGAATGGCTTTGCATCAGTGTGTGCTTGCATATGCCTCATCAGATCTCTTTTGTCACGAAAATCTTTCGAACACAAGGGACAAGGAACACGTGGACGAGTGCAACCTTCTTTGAATATTTGAGCATGCCTCATCTGATGCACCCGAAAAATATCTTTTCTTGCAAATGACATCGGGCACATATCACATTTGTAAGGTTTTTCCCCTGAGTGTGTTCTTTCGTGCCTGTTGCGATGCCCAGACATTTTATATTGCTTGCTGCAGAAACGACATTTAAACTGTGATCTTGATGTTTTGTTCAGTATTTGGTTACTTGCAGAGGTGGCCTTTGTGTCATTCTCAGCAGCAAAACTGACTTTGGTATGATTTTTAATCCCCAAATGAGAACACTGATCTTGTTTCTCAGAACAATTCACAACACAGAGACTTTCTTTCATATCTGTCCCTGTATTCTTATCGAGGTTGCAAGATTCCCTGAAATTCTCAGCTCTTTCACTATCATCATTGCAGGGGGTTATCATTCCAGTGGTCAAATCTAAAGTAAAAATCTCTGTTTCAATTCCTTGTTCAACTGTGTCTTTCTTCATAGAATTTTGAATTTGTTCTCTGGTCACAATACAAGAGTTGCCACTGGAACTCGGATGACTATGCAAAGTGTATAGGCTATAAGACTCACATGACTCAGTTTTTACCATGCTAGCTTGCAATTCAGTGGGGACAAGCTGGTTGACATGGTCAAAAGCATCACAAATATCTCTTTTCATCGTGACAGACTGTGAATTGCTTTCAGCACAAGGATCATCAGGTACGGCTGTATCATTGGAGATGCATACTGGTACTCCTTCTGGCATTAAAAACCTTTCTTCACATAAGTCTGTACCATTTCCCAACCCTTCAAGTCTCTCACTTTTAATTTCAAACCAAGGTCCTTCTTGCATTAAGTATCTATTATTGCTGCCCGGTGACTTTTCTAGTGTCACCTCTGTGACAAGTAAACCATTTCTACATCTTAAGTGTTCGCTCCCCTTACAATCATACGATTTTCCTTTTTGTTCCATTTCTTTTTTTATATCATGGGCATGCGACGTTTAAACTTTAAGTTAACATCATTAATTTTGTCGTTTCATTGTATAATTTCTTTTTGACTTTAACACTGCTTCTTGATAACTGTCCTGTCCAAATGTGCAAGATTTCAATCCGCAGCGTCGAATACGGTTTTTACAAGCAGCTTCTTTGCTACCATAACTCTGGTAAGTTTTATGCACTAGCATTATCGATCACTGAGATTTTCAGTGAAAAGTAAGTCAAACGAGGAACAGCGTCAATTCGTCAGGTAATTATTAGTTTCAATCACCTCTCCATCCTATAGTGTATGTTCGTTTAGACACAAACTCTCCAACATCCTTCAGTTGGCATTTAGATTGAAGTATATTAATATGTACAAACTTCGTCTGCTATGCATAAATTCTGACTGCTATCCACCATCTTGAAATCTTCAAAGGATGCCACATCGAGGCTGTGACCTCCCGCGAACTCGGCGCTTGTAAGGAGACGGGAGAGTTGGTCTAATCATAGAAGTAGAGAACTCTACTTCTGTGGTCTAATCTATTTCTTCAAGTTCAGCCATGTTGTCACTCAGGCAGTCGGTCATTCCTCAGATCCTAGTCCCTTCATATGTTCCTTTTTTCATTTATACATTCATGAAATAGCCTGAATATTTTTCTTTTAATTTGAATTCATTTCAGTTTTGACTTTTGTTCGCTTGGACGCTCGTCCAAGTTTTCAAAGAAGAATTACGGGGTAAAAACGACCGGGTACTCATTCATTTGTCTGATAACTCAATTAATAACATTTTCGATAAATAAATACATTAATTAAATGATTATATAATAAATTAATCAAAAAGTGCTGTCCATCTTTGTTTGTGAGTGTGAAATAGTAGGCCAATCTCATTAGTTTAAGAAGAGCTTTAATTAATTATTTATTTGTTTATTATCCCCGCACTTCTGGGACAAAAGTCGGGGTGTAGTGATCCGTTAATTAGAACTGAGTCTTCTAAATTTGCTTACATCAGATATGTATATATTTGTACGTTTTAATTATTCAAATATACTTAGACATGACATGTTGCATGGCAGTTTAAGAGAAGTTCATTTAAAATGCAAATCAAGATTTAATTTAAATGTATCTACAATTAAGTTAATGTACATAGGCATGGCATGTTTCATGACAGTTATGAAAGCTAATTTGAAATGCAAATTAAGATAGAGTATAAAGGCAGTGACTGAGCCACAGAGACAGAGAGACTTACAGACTGAGAGAGTTAGAGATAGTTATAGATAC